CAACTAAAAAATAAATATTAAAAAAGATGACAAATATTTTTAAAAACACATAGCTTTCATTTCCTGTATTAGTAATCTACATTATTAAAATAATATCTGTGAAATAATGGCATGGATTCTGGGTAGTTCAGACAATATAAAACTCATTTTTTAGCTGGGCACAGTGACACATGTGTATAATCCCAGTGACTCTTGAGGCTGAGGTGGGAAGCTCGAAAGTTCAAGCCAACTTCAGCAACTTAGCAAGAGCCTGTCTCAAGATAAAAATTTTAAAATGCTGGATGTAGCTCTGTGGGAGAGCACCCCAGGGTTCAATCCTCAGTCACACACACACATACACACACACACACACACACACACACACATCTAATTTAAAAGAAAAATAATGTTTGAGTATTGCTTACGGTGAGATTTTTATTCCCACTAAACAGGCACATATAGGGGCTGGAGTTTAGCTCAGTGGCAGAACAGTGCCTACCATATGCAAGGCCCTAAGTTCAATCCTCAGTAAGGAGAAAAAAAAGGGGATGGGGTGGGAGTATATATTCAACAACATCACTTCTTTGGACTTGATTCCTAAGTGATTTTTAAAGCGATTCAGTGATTTTTCACCATAATAAGTTAAGAAAGGCTGGTCTTGATAAAACTTCACAGGCTTATTTGAATACCCATATTCAGGTCTGTACCTCCAAGAGACATCCATTTTAAATTTATGAAGTTGTTCTATCATCAGGAAAGATTTTGAACTTTTGAGGATTGGTCTTTATCTGCTTGAAACCTCTCACATTCCACTGTATCTTAATGAAATGGAGGTTCTGTTCTTTCTGCCCAGGACTTCTGATAAGTGTTTGCAGACTTTGTAAACTTCTGAATAATAACTTTCAGTAAGAACAGGAGTCTTAGTATCATTTTCTGCAGTATTATTCTGCTCTGTAAGATAATGTGTTATCAATACTTCATAAGATAAGTTTGGCCAGAGAATGGATAAAATTTGTAGTTGTTTTCAAACTGCTCCCTTCTTTATGGGTGTGGATCATAGATCATGCAGCTGTCTGCCAATAGATAATCTTGATGAGTGAAATGAAGTGAACAGAGAAAAAGGTGGCTTATGCCTTAAATACTTAGGAAGGACTGAGTAAATTGCATCCCAAAGAATGAAGGAGTAAAAAAAAAAAATTAGGTGTATTTGTTTACAGGAAGAGAGTGGCATCTTCATCTATTTGAGGAAGTTTCCTCATCGCCTCGGAGAGTGAAAATTTACTCTTTTGAGGGGAGGCGGGGCGGGGTGGGGGGAGGAATGAGCGCTGGTGTGATTGTGTAATTTGTATAACCTGTTACTTGAGGTAAAGTGAGAAAGAAGCAGATGATTTAGCCTCTGTTTGCAGGGAGGAGGGAAGTCAATACAAATTACTGAACCACACTGGAGGTCTGAAATGAAAGCTCTTTTGTGACTAAGATGAACTCACCAGTGCACTGGGACTCTCTGATTTTTGCCACATCCAGGCTTAGGCCACCAAGTGGCCAGGGTCAGCAAATTCCACTACCTGAAAATGATGGAAGGCAGCAGGAAGGGGGTTGGTGCCTGCCTGGGAAGAAGCAATTGAATTGTACTAGGAAGGCACCAGGTTCCTTCTCTCCCTTTCTTTCTCCTCGCCCCACCCCCCACCACCAAGAGTGAAGCTAAAGAAAAGGAAGGAAGGTTGGCTCTAGAAGGTGAGTGGTGGTGTCCTAGTCTGTTCCAAGTGTAGATTACCCTCGCTCAGCAAAGTTGCTGTATGCCTGTTTGTTTACAAATTATTTGCGTGGCAAAAAAGAAAACAACCTGGTGAAATCTGCTGCCAGAAGACAACCATATGTCAAGTCATCTAACCTCCAAGTTAGTCAAACATTCTGCAGGTTAACACATCCACGCGTCCATTCTTCTTTCTCTTACCTCTGAGTCGACATTATTCTCCCTTAGTTCATTGACCTTGTCTACAGTTCACACCAACAATGTATAAGTCTCATGACACTTTCACAAGGTGAGACTTCATACTGATTGAGTGCAGTAGTTAAAAGGGCAAAGGGTGCCCACGAGTACCTCCCACTTCAGCACCTGTGCTAAAGTAGAAAACATGGACAAGGCAGACCACACATGTGCCTCAGTTGTGTCAGCCAGAAGATGGGATGAATAATTTTGTTTCATAGATGCTTGGCGACTATTGGATTTTTTAAAAAAAATCCATTATCACCCTGTGAAAAAAATATTGCATCCTGCTTTTATGCACTGAGGTTGAATAATTTTTCTGGTAATAACGCCATAAAATGGATGTAAGCATTTAACAAATAATCTAAACTGGTTGAGTAGGCCCAAGATTTTTCTATTCCCAATTAGCATGCCTTTAGAAGATTATAAATACATGGGAATACACAATTTTCAATAAAATTATCAATTGTACAGAATATAACCATACATCAAAACTCTCTTAAGTCATTATAACATTAAAAAGTATTTATGGGA